GAAATCTCTTGATGAAAATTTATATAGTTACTAACCAGACTCTTTCTTTGAAAATACATATACTGGATGTTCTACATAAATTAACCCAGGTCAGAATTATCGGTCCAGAGGCTTCTGTATATTTCAGAAATTTATTGATGTCAATTATTTTTATGAAAAATCTTATATTGTGGAACTCAAAGCATTTTGCAAATTTATTTACCGTGTGTTTCATAAAAATGAAACAGGAGGACTAGGATTTTTTTCTCATTTCACTACACACTTTCCTACATTATTTATTGAAATCTCTTGATGAAAATGTATAGTTACTAACCAGATGCTTTCTTTGAAAATCCATATACTGGATGTTCTACATAATTTGACCCAGGTTAGAATTATCGTCCAGACTTCTGTATATTTCAGAAATTTATTGATGGTAATATTTTTATGACAAATCATATCTTATTAACCAAATATTTTGTACTGGATGTTTCATAAAGCTGACAAAATTTTCCTTTCTCTTTCAACTTTATTTTTACTTACTGAAGGCTTTTAATGAAAAATTGTATATTTTTTAACAAGATACCTTTTTGGAAGTTTATACTGGGATGTTCCAAAAAATGATTCACTTCAAAATTAAGAGAAAGTGAAACAACTTATTTTTTTCCCATTTCTGCCTTACCTACGTACTGAAGTCTTTGAATGAAAAGTTGTATATTTACGAACCTATACTTTTTTGGAAGTTTATACTGGATGTTCCAATAAATGATCCACTTCAGAATTAGAAGAGTGAAACTTAACTTATTTTTTCCCCATTTCTCACTTACCTACGTACTGAAGTCTTTGGATGAAAAATTTTATATTTACTATCTAGATATCCTTTTGAAAGTTTATACTGGATGTACAAAATGATCTACATCAGAATTCAACCCAAAACAAAAAGGCGGCAGACCAGATATTTTTTTACACATTTTACCTTTTTCTACTTTCTTTGGTAAAGTTCAGTGATGAAAAATTTTTCATTTACCAACACGATGCTTTTTTGATAATTTTTATACCGAATGTTCCAACAAAATTGATCCAGGTCAGAGTTCAAACGTAATCATATTTTTATTTCATTCTACTTTATTTTTTTGAGGTCTATTGATGCACAATTTTATAATATGCTTTTTGGAACTTTACAATATACTGCATGTTCTATAAAATTAATCCAGGACAGACCCCGTGGATTATTCCTTATTATATTTGTTTCTTCTACTTTATTTGGTTAAGCCTATTAATGAAATTTTTTTTATTTACTAACCAGATGCCATTTTAAAACTTTCTACACAGAATGTTTCACAAAATCGACCCACATTAGAATGCTGATACTGGTGGTGATGTAGATGATTTAAATAATGGTCATGTAGATGATGGCGACGTGCATGATTGTGATATAGATGTGATTATGATATATATGCTGTAGTAGATGATGGTAATGTAGATAATGGCGATGTAAATGACCATGTAGATAATGGTGATGTAGATTATGGTGATGTGGATGATGGCGATGTAGATGATGGTGATGTATATGATAGTGATGTAGATGATAGTGCTGCAATTATGGTGATGTAGATGATAGCGATGTAGATGATGTAGATGCTGGCGATGTAGATGATGGTTATGTAGACCATGGCGATGTAGATGTAGATGATGTAAATGATGGTACTGTAGATAATGGCGATGTAGATTATAGTGGTGTGGTGTAGATGTAGATGATGGCGATGGTGAGGTAGATGATGGCGATGGTGAGGTAGATGATGTTGCTGTAAATTATGGTGATGTAGAAGATGACGCTGTAGATGATGGCGATGTAGATGATGGTGATGTAGATGATGGCGATGTAGATTATGGTGATGTAGATGATGGTGGTGTAGATGATGGCGATGTAGATTTTGGTGATGTAGATGATGGTGATGTAGATCATGGCGATGTAGACGATGGTGATCTAGATCATGGTGATGTAGACGATGGTGATGTAGGTGATGGCGATGTAGATGTAGATGATGGTGATGTAGATAATAGCAATGTAGATTATGGTGATGTTGATGATAGCGATATAGATGATGGTGATGTAGATTATAGCGATGTAGATGATAGCAATGTAGATGATGACGATGTAAATGATGGTAATGTAGATGACGGCGATGTAGATGATAGTGCTGCAATTATGGTGATGTAGATGATAGCGATGTAGATGATGGCGATGTAGATGATGGTGATGTAGATGATAGAGCTGAAGATTATAGTGCTGAAGATTATGGTGATGTACATGATGATGATGTAGATGATGGCGATGTAGATGATAGTGATGTAGATGATGGTGATGTAGATGATGGTGCTGTAGATGATGGTGATGTAAATGATGGCGATGTGGATGATGGTGTTGATGATTTAAAAAACATTCGCGCACAAGACAGTGCTCCTCGAAGCGGAGCTCATGCGCGCAGCGCCGTCGGAGGGCCGAAGGCCTGAGAGAAACGTCACTTGGTTACGTTTCTAGTCATATATATTAAAGTGTGTAGGTTACTCACGCTCCCGCATCCGCCCCCGAAAAAGGGCCATTTTGCACTAACTAAGGCTCCGCGAGCGAGCCGCGCGGCGGCTAGGCGCGGCGGGCGAAGCCCCCCGCCGGCCTTCCTTCGTACGAACGTCGTATTTCGACGGCGATTTTGTTCCCTCTTCCCAGTGAATTTTCGGTCTTTCGGGGGGTCCGCGCGACCGACCGCGGCTTTTAGCGGGGAAGTGAGACGCAGATACTCGGAAACGCCCTCCATCGGAAGCGTTTCGGGGTCGATTTCTCCGACCGAGGGCTTTTTACGCGGGAGGGATCGGGACTTCCTTCCGCTTTTACGCGAAAGTTTCGTCCTTTCCGAGCATCTCGGACGTATTTTTGCGGCGTATTTTTTACTTTTTAACGCCTAAATTGGCTTTTCAAAAGGGGTCTGCATCTCGCGTCTCTCTCGCCAGACCCCGATTATTTTATAAAGCCCGGATTATTTCGGCGAAAACGCCGTTTTCGCGACGGCGTAATTTTTTTCCCTCGCTCGATCGGCCTTCGCTTTCTGCGCGAGGACGAAGCCCTGGCTTTTCTCTCGGCGTACGAACCGCGCCCGAGGACTGAGGAAACCCCGGTAGGCCCCCCGAGACGGCTTTCCGGCAACGCGTCACGACGATCTCTCTCTTCTATATCTCCATCAACTTTTTTTAGGTCGAATGTAACAAAATTTAAGACCGGCATTAGCGATATAAAATTTGTGCGTTCAGCCATGGGCGGTTCTTCGGTCAGGTGAAAAGAGAACGTACTTTCCGCGGCTCTTACGTGACGTTCGTGGTGTTTCCACGACCGAATTCTTCACGACTGACGCCACGATACCTTTCCCTTTCCGCGAAAAATTATATTTGGCCCTCACAGTAGCCCCGCAGGGTCGTAAGTGTTAGTATTAAACCCTTAAATAAAAAATTTTGCGAGTTCCTGACATCCGATGACAGCGCCGTGACTAACGTCACTTTGATATCACAAGCTGGCGGCCGCTCGTTGTTCGTAAAAAAATCGGAAATTTTCAACTTTATATGCCCCGATTTGTGTAAATCACGCTAGCGGAGGCCGTTTTACATCGTATTCTTTGGTTTTGTGAAGATTTTGTACAGTTTTTTTCCCAAGAAGAAAATTACATTTAACACCGTTCCCATGAGCTTATGTCGTATAGGTCGTGGCCCCATTTATGCTTACTGATCTGGATTGTCAGTGAAATACATTCTTCCAACTTAACATATGTACAGGTAAATAGCAGTAAACTTTAACATAACCTTTACCCATTCATTAAAAATAATAATAACCTCTACCAAGATTACATTGTAGTAAAAATCTGCAAGATTCCTAAACTTGAAGATCTATCTGTCTGTCAAATAAAATAAACCTGTAAATTGAGAAAAGCCAGTTCCAAGTTTACTCAGAAGACAAATATTTGGCCTGGGGGCGTTTTGCAAAAACCCTTTCGACAGGTATAGTATATGTATTTTTTTACCCGGCTGTTGGTAGAATCTAACATGAATTTTAGTTTTTCAGTTGAAACTAGGCTGTAGATGAACGTAAATATAGTGCACAGTGTGGAAGTTTTGTTTAGTTGGTTTATAAGAATCCACCACTACATTCCTACACTCCTTGCCGTTTTAAGGAGGACCCCTGGAAACCACCAGTGAATAAAGAATGATTTAAATAAAACATCTTTGTTGGTCTTCCACTATACGTTACATATACAATGTCACATTATGCATACAGTTACACTCCCAGCATATTATATAAAATATACAGATGTGTGTTCAATTTTACACATAATAAACACAATTTTTTAGTTAACAAATTTTGGAAGGTAATTTCAATAAATGTTTTTTTGTCATTTGAAAAACTCAGGTTTTAATACATTCCGAGAGGTCTGAAATAAGTATAAACGATAAAAATATTTGTATAACATTGATAAACATTTAAAAAAAATAATGTAATAAAAACATTAACCATTTTGTTTTAAATATATATACGGTAAGTAATTATATTATGTATTTTTAAATATCCACTGTTGTCACAGAAAAACACAATTTTCTTTCACAATCAATCATAAATAATACACATTATTTTTTATTTATATTTAATATTATCAATTACATACATCTGAATAAATACTGTACTACTGTACCGGCATTTCTGTACTAATAACATTAATTCTAAATACATAACCCTATCTTCTGCTATCACATGTCAACTGGATTAAAATATTATTTTTATATCTTCCATTTAACTTTATAACATCGACATTTTAACCCATTACCATTTACAATGGAGTTAAAATACATTATACTTGAGGAATTTATTATTTTTCACAACACTCAAAGAACACGGTATTTTTACTTAAAAAAATATTTCTGTTTAACATCACAATTAACGTTTTACTTATTCAGCAAGACAAAATACTACATGTATCACAGTTAAATAATCCAATTAAAACTTCTTTTCTTCAGCTTCTTCAACTTCCAGCATTGTTTAAATAACAGCATCTAAAAGAAACATTTTTCTGTAATTCTATTCTAACTAAGAAAACATTTGTTTGATTGTTTCTAATTTCTATAGGTACATACCTTTCAAGTTTTGATTCCAACAGCTTTTACTAATATAATAATTATACATCAACTACAAATTTCCATATTATTTCAAAATATACTTCTAAAAAACAAATACTGGGAAATCGGTAAATTTTGCAGCCAATTATTAATTATATCTACTCTTNGTAGTAGCTGTAGTCGCCCAGGTGCATCGAGTGTACGAACTGGTCGGTTATACGTCAAATACTAACCTGGCGAGCTTTGCCGTCAATTAGAGAGCGCTTCCAAAAAACAAGTAAACAACAGTGGCGCGTACAGAGGTAAAATGTAGTACATATGTGGAATTTAGGAAACAAATTGGATATATAATAAATTACATTTAAAATAAATAGTTTATGAGAATAAAGGAATTTTTGTAGGAACAAGGGTGCCAGACCTAAGCTGATCCCCTCGTCCCTTCATAATGTATAAAGAAATTATTCAATTTGTAAAACCCTTAAAAGCGTACTTCATTGGCTCCCTTGACAGGCAATGATTTATTACTTTGCATCGAATATGATCCTACTATAGGATATATACATCCAATATCCATTTGACAGCCATATAAATACAAGAAGTTACTCACAGATCACAGATTAAAGATTTGCAGTTAATCGGGTAGGGAAATTATTACATCCAATCATGGCAAGCATTTAGAGGACAGCTAGCGCCCTCATTGTGTCTGGCACGAACTAAAATCGAACTGGCTTCATTATGTACGTTTAAGAATGCAGCTTTCGATTGCAACACTAGAGAATTACTCGATGTTATAATTTTTTTCTAAAATTAAGTTACTAACTGGAATTACGATGACAATGACGATATGGAAGAAAATATAACTTTTCAAATAGGTTTCTCTACACAGGATGACGGGGTTTCTAAGCAAATTGCTTTGAAGCTGGAACGGTCGAGAGTATCTGCATATTTCAGAAATTCATTGGTTACAATATTTTTATGAAAGATCTTATATTGTACAACTGTAGAAGCATTTTGCAAATTTATATACTGAGTGTTTCATAAAAATGAAACAGGTGAACAAGGATTTTTTTCTCATTTCACTACCTACTTTCCTACATTATTTATTGAAATCTCTTGATGAAGATTTATATAGTTACTAACCAGACGCTTTCTTTGAAAATCCATGTACTGGATGTTTACACAAAATGGCCCAGGTCAGAATTATCGGTCCAGAGGCTTCTTATACTTCAGAAATTTATTGATGGCAATATTTTTATGAAAAATCTTATATTGTAGAACTCGGAGGCATTTTGCAAATTTATATACTGAGTGTTTCATATAGAAATGAAACAGGCGGACTAGGATTTTTTTCTCATTTCACTACCCACTTTCCTACTTTATTTATTGAAATCTCTTGATGAAATTTTATATAGATACCAACCAGACGCTTTCTTTGAAAATCCATATGCTGGATGTTCTACAAAAATGGACCCAGGCCAGAATTATCGGTCCAGATGCTTCTGTATATTACAAAAATTTATTGATAGCAATATTTTTATGACAAATCAAATCTTATTAACCAGATGTTTTGTACTGGATGTTTCATAAAGCTGGCACAGGTGGACTAGGCTTCTCTATTCTTTTTACTTTTTTTACTTTCTCTACTGAAACGTTTTGAAACTGACGCTTTTTGAAAAATCCATATACTGAAAATTGAGGCAGGTCTGATTAACAGGCAAAATTTTATTTTCTCTTTTAACTTTATTTTTACTTACTGAAGGCTTTTAATGAAAAATTGTATATTTACTAACCAGATACCTTTTTGGAAGTTTATACTGGATGTTCCAAAAAATAATCCACTTTAAAATTATGAGAGTGAAACTTATTTTTTTCCCATTTCTGCCTTACCTACGTACTGAAATCTTTGAATGAAAAATTGTCCATTTACTAACTAGATACCCTTTTGGAAGTACTGTTTGTACTGGATGTACAAATTGATCAGATTTGAAACCAAAACAAAAAGGCGGCAGACCAGATATTTTTTTACCCTTTTTACCTTTTTCTACTTTCTTTGGTAAAGTTCATTGATAAAAAATTTAGCATTTACCAACACGATGCTTTTTTGATAATTTTTATACCGAATGTTCCAACAAAATTGATCCAGGTCAGAGTTGCAAGTGTTCAAACGTATTCATATTCTTTTTATTTCATTCTACTTTATTTTTTGAGGTAACAATTTTATAATATGTTTTTTGAAGCTTTACAATATAGTGCATGTCCAATAAAATTGATCAAAAAGAAACCTCATGAATTATTCCTTATCATATTTATTTCTTCTACTTTATTTAGTGAAGCCTATTCATGAATTTTTTTTATTTACTGAACAGATGCCATTTTAAAACTTGCAACACAGAATGTTTCACAAAATCGACCCACATTTGAATGGTGATAATAATGTAGATGGTGGGGAAGTAGATGATGTAAATAATTGTAATGTAGATGATGGCGATGTAGACAATGGTGACGTAGATGATGGTAATGTAGATGATGGCGATGTAGATGATGGTGTTGTACATGATGGTGATATACATGATGGTGATATAGATGTTGCTGTAGTAGATAATGATAATGTAGATAATGGCGATGTAAATGATGGTCATGTAGATGACGGTCATGTAGATTATGGTGATGTGGATGGTGGCGATGTAGATGATGGTGATGTATATGATGGTGATGAAGATGATGCTGATGTAGATGATGGCGATGTAAATGCTAGTGATGTAGACGATGGCGATGTAGATGTAGATTATGGTGATGTAGATAATAGCGATGTAGGTTATGGTGATGTTGATGATAGCGATATGGATGATGGTGATGTAGATAACAGCGATGTAGATGATGGTGATGTATATGATACTGCTGGAGATTATAGTGCTGAAGATTATGGTGATGTAGATGATTATGTAGATGATGGCGATGTGGATGATAGTGATGTAGATGATGGTGATGTAGATGATGGTGCTGTAGATGATGGTGATGTAGATGATGGTAACGTGGATGATGGCGTTGATGATTTAAAAAACATTCGCACAAGACAGTGCTCCGCGAAGCGGAGCTCATGAGGCGCGCAGCGCCGCCCGAGGGCCGAAGGTACGAGAGAAACGTCAAGTCGGCGAAGCCGACTTGCCTACGTTTCTATTCATATATATTAAAACGTGTAGGTTACTCTCGCTCGCACGCCCGCCCCCGAAAAAGGGCCATTTTGCACTTAGGCTCCGCGAGCGAGCCGCGCAGCGGAGAAGCGCGGGGGGCGAAGCCCCCCGCCTTTCTTTCTTCATCCAAACGTCGTATTTCGATGGCGATTTTTTGCCCTCTTCCCAGTGAATTTTCGCTTTTTCGGGAGGTCTGCGCGACCGATCGCGGCTTTTAGCGGGGAAGTGAGACGCAGATATTCGGAAACGCCTTCCATCGGAAGCGTTTCGGGGTCGATTTCTCCGACGGAGGACTTTTTTCCCGGGAGGGATCGGGACGTCCTTCCGCTTTTACGCGAAAGTTTCGTCCTTTCCGAGCGTCTCGGGCGTATTTTTGCGGCGTACTTTTTACTTTCTAACGCCGAAATTAGCTTTTCAAAAGGGGTCTACATCTCGCATCTCTCTCGCCAGACCCCGATTAGTTTATTATATTATATATATATATTATATTAGTTTATAAAGCCCGGAAAACGCCGTTTTCGCGCCGGCATAATTTTTTTCCCTCGCTCGATCGGCCTTCGCTTTCTGCGCGAGGACGAAGCCCTGGCCTTTCTCTCGGCGTACGTACCTCGCCCGAGGACTGAGGAAGCCCGCGTTGGCCCCCCGAGACGCCTTGCCGGCGACGCGTCGTGACGATCTCAGTCTTCTATATCTCCATCAACTTTTTTTAGGTCGAATGTAACAGAATTTAAGATCGGCATTAGCGATACAAAATTTGTGCATTCAACTATGGGCGTCTCTTCGAGGCGGGGACAGTGAGAACCTACTTTCCCGGCGTTTACGAGACATTCCTGCACCTCGAGCTTTCCGAAAAAAATTATATTCGCTTCCCACAACAGTTCCAACAGGTTCTAAGTGATCATATTGAACCCTTAAAATTAAAAGTTCACAAAAGTCTCTGAACCGCTGTCAGACTGTCAGTTTAATGTCACAAAATGGCCGCCATTCCGTTCGTCCTAGGAAAATTGAAAATTTTCAACTTTCGTGTGGCGATTTGTGTAAAAGAAGCTAAAGTGGGACGATTTCTATTGTTTCCGATGTGTCGCTAAACCTGTCGCAGGTTTTTTTCCACAAAAGGAAAATTACGTTTAACAGGCGTTCCCATGAGGTACGTGGCCCCACGTTTGCTTTGTGACCTGGATTGTCGGTTAAATACATTCTTCCAACTTAACTTATGGATCGGTAAAAACACTACAAGTTTTAACAGAGCCTTTACCCATTCCTTCAAAAAAAATAAAAACCCCTGTGAAGATTACTTTGCACTGCGATATGTCTCAACAAACAAACCTAACAAACCTTAAACAATTATCTCTACGTTTTCGATTACTGACGATTGTTGAATCGCCCCCCATCTGTCAAGTCCTGTCATCTGTCGAGTAAAATAAACCTGTGTATTGAGAAAAGCCACTCCCAAGATTGCTAAGAATACAAATAAGAATCTGCTCCGAGGTGTCTTGCAAAAACCCTTTCTGCAGGTATAGTATATATATTTTTTACCCGGCCATTGGTAGAATCTAACATAAATTTTAATTTTCCAGTTACAACTATGCAGTGTGGAAGTTTTGTGTTTTACAAGAATCCACCACTACATTACCTACACTTCTACCGAGGAACCCAGGATGCCACCAGTTAAAGTGATTAAAGGACAAGTGATTTTCGCGAGTGCAGGTTATAAAATTGTGAAATGTTCCTTGAGGTGAAAGATTTCATTGATACGGGACCTATCTCAAAAACTTAGTCTTTTTTTGTTCAAGTTGTGTATTTTTCACAGCAGGGATATGTGATTATTATTTAACCATTCTCGCCTTCCATGTAGTAGCTTCAACTGCACTAATTCTAAGAAAACTATGGCAAATAAAGTTATTCCAAACTACATTACATTAATTTCATTTTATAAAAAAATTTGTTCACTTGGGTAAAAC